CGCTTCCCTGGCAAGCACAAGGGCCTGAGTTCAATCCCTGGCTCCACAAAAAAAAAAAAAAAAAGAGAGACCTTAAAGTGACTCAGGATTCTCGTAGGTCCAGAAGGAAAGAGTGTGGTGCTCTGAGGACACAGAAGGAAAGAAGACTAAGAAATATGCAAGGGCCAGATCGCAACAAATGTTCTTACAGTCTTCAGGCGAGGACACATTTTGAGAATACTGTCAGAAACCAAAAACAGGTTCGGTAATTATGGAGTAACTCTACAGGAAACCACCAAACTCTGTTCCCTTGTGGGTGCCCTTGGGCCCAGCACAACACACACACTTGCACCATTGTCAGATAAATCTCTGAGCCTTAGTTGCTATGGATAGCATCACCCACCAAGGCCACGTCAGGATGCCCAGAAGCTAACCCACCTCAGTGGGTCATCTTGCCAAGGAGTGTCTAATGGTAAATCCTTTCTACTTCATTTCTAGGTTCTGGTCATCAGAGGGAGTGTTTCCTTAAACATCACTGTGCTGTGTTTCCCTTGTCTAACTTCATCATTCACCTTAGCAGATGACAGAAAGGCATGAGAAGGAGCAAAACACATCGCTGGACACAGGGGTGACTGACTTCATCCTCCTGGGCCTGGCTCACCCCTCCAGCCTCAGGGCGCTTCTCTTCCTGATCTTCTTCAGCATTTACATCCTGACTCAGCTGGGGAACCTGCTCATTCTGTTCACCGTGTGGGCTGACCCCAAGCTCCACACCCGCCCCATGTATATCCTTCTGGGTGTGCTCTCATTCTTGGACATGTGGCTCTCCTCTGTCATTGTTCCTCGACTTATTTTAGATTTCACTCCTGTCAGCAAGTCCATCCCTTTTGGTGGCTGTGTGGCTCAGCTGTATTTCTTTCACTTCCTGGGCAGCACTCAGTGCTTCCTCTACACCTTGATGGCCTATGACAGGTACCTCGCCATCTGCCAGCCTCTGCGCTACTCTGTGCTCATGAATGGGAGGCTATGCACCCTCCTTGTGTCTGGAGCATGGGTGGCTGGCTCCATCCATGGGTCTATCCAGGCCACTCTGACCTTCCGCCTGCCCTACTGTGGGCCCAATCAAGTGGATTATTTTTTCTGCGATATCCCCGCAGTGTTGAGACTGGCCTGTGCCGACACAACGGTCAATGAGCTTGTGACCTTTGTGGACATCGGGGTGGTGGCCGCCAGTTGCTTCATGCTGATTCTGCTGTCCTATGCCAACATAGTCCACGCCATCCTGAAGATACGCACTGCAGATGGCAGGCGCCGCGCCTTCTCCACCTGTGGCTCCCACCTGACCGTGGTCACGGTCTACTATGTCCCTTGTATCTTTATCTACCTTCGAGCAGGCTCCAAGAGCCCCCTGGATGGGGCAGTGGCTGTGTTTTACACTGTGGTGACTCCTTTACTGAACCCCCTCATCTATACCCTGAGGAACCAGGAAGTGAAGTCTGCTCTGAAGAGGATAACGGCAGGTCGAGCGAGCGTGAAAGAAAACAAGTAGCTAGCACGACCACTGCACTACCACTGTGCGCAGCTGCTGCTGTGCATGACAGACGTCTAACAGACAGATACTGATTTAAGCTGAATTAAATACAATTATTTTGGGAAGAAAACCTTCTCACACAATACTCTTACTAAATTGTGCACAGTTGTTTACACGTTTCTGACCTGTCTCTCAAGAAAACGCATATTCTGTATACAGGTTGGCTATGAGTAATGAATGCTTTATTTAGGAGGAGGGGAGATAATTCCAGACAAATTGGAGGGAAACCTATGTATCAGGGACACACTGCCTGCCATTCGTGTGCATCCCCCAGTTTCCCAAGCCTCTCAGAACTCAGGAATTTTTCTTCTCGAGCATTCAGTCAGAATCTATGGGTCATCTTTGTTTCCTCCCAGTCTCCTGCTCTCCCCATGCAGAAATTCACCAGGTTCCCTCCACTCTGCCTCAAGAGTGTCTCTGGCTCCTTCTGTGACCCTCTTAACCCCATCTTTATCCATCCACTGCCAGAGTTCTTTCAGATACACAGGACTAAATATTTCTTTCCTATCCTTATGAAAATTTAGTGGATCTTTGCTGCACACAGATAACATCCCAAGATTTCCGCATCTCACCCCACCATGCTTTATCTCTGACTATGATCCCTATAATAGTAAAAGCAGCAAAACACAAGAAAGACCAGGATGTGAAAAGACAGTACTAACATTTTCACTTGGTCCCACATATCTGCTTCTTGCCATTTTCTATACAAGGGGGATATGCAACGAGTTTTTTTGTTTTTTGTTTTTTGGTTTTTTGCAGAACCCGGGATTGAACTCAGGCCCTTGCACTTGCCAGGCAAGCACTTATTCTACTGAGCCATCTCCCCGGCCCCTTATGCAACGAGTTTTATTGATTATTACCCATCATGGTTCAGCCTACTTACCCTCTAGGAGATGTGTCAGTCTTCTCCAAATTGGCCCCAAAGAGATCCTGCTTCTCCTTTCAACTCCTGACTCTTTTCAAACCAGTCTACCACCAGAGAACAGATGATGCTCAAAATTCTGTCCTCGGAAGGTCGGGTCTCAAACCTCACTTGAGCTTCCTAAAGGAAATACAAGAGTCACCACCCGGCTTCTGCATAGAGTCATGCACATTTCTTTGGCCATATCTGCCACTGAAGGCCAATATGGTCTGCTCTCTTGTTTTGTATAATGTGAAAGTTAAGAAGAGTTATAATACTGTTAAATAGAAAAGAAGCAAAATAAAAATATTTCATGATACATGAAAAGTATATGAGGGGCTGGTGAGATGGCTCAGTGGTCTAAAGCACCTACTTAGAACAAGCTTAGCAAAGCACAGGGACTGCGGTTCAATCCCCCAGCACCACATGCCAGCCAGCCCCGCCCCCTGGTGGGCTGAGCTGGCCACACACACACACACACACATACACACACACAAATAAAATTTAAAATAATAATAATAATAATAATAATAATAATAATGAAAAGTATATGAAATTTAAGGCTTAGCATCTATTAAGATGTATTATAATACAGCTGTGTCTATTGCATTGCATTGTGTCTAACTATTTTCACTAGAATAGCACACAGCATTAAATAGTTTCCATGGAAGCTATATGGTCCTCAAAGGCGAAAATACTATTACCTAGCCATGTTTTCTGTTTACTTTTTTTTTATTTTTAAGAAGAATAAAAAATGGTAAAAAAAAAAAATACAGAATTTCACTAAACAAAATGATAAAAATTCAACGATAGTTATTATATTGCATATTGTTGTCTTCAAATTAGTTGTTCAGATTGCCAGATATAAGCATGAAAAATTGGTCAAAAAAGTGAGAGAGAGAAATTTAAGCATTAATTGCTCCTTTCAATAGACCAGCAGAAATCAGCAGTACAATTATCCAAGCTGTCCTAAGTGTACACACACACATATATATAGTTATATAGATTCCCCTTTCTTCTTTATTTTCTCCTTTCCCTCATCCCAATTATTCCTTCCCTTTGAACAGTGTCTTTCTCTTTTAGAGTATCTACTGTACTTTTCACATTCTTACACTAAGGAGACAATACAATGTTTACACAAGCAGATCTGATTTATTTCACTTATGAGTATGGTCTCTAGCATCATCCATTTACCTATAAAAGCCTCCATTTCATCTTTTTATAGTTGAGTAATACTCCATTGTATAGAAATGCCACATCTTAGGGGGCTGGGGAAATGGCTCAGTAGAATAAGCGCTTCCCTGGCAAGCACAAGGGTCTGAGTTCAAGCCCCAGCTCCTCAAAAAAAAAAAAGAAAAAACAGAAATGCCACATCTTTTGTATCCATTTCTCAGCTAATGGGCATTTGGGCTGTTTCTAAGATATAGCTATGACAAATTGTGCTGCTATAAATAGGGGCGCACATATATGGCTGAGGTATGACATTTTCAGTTCTTTTGGAAAAATACCCAGGAGGAAAATAGCTGGGCTGAATAAGACCTCTAATCCTAATTTTTTTAGGAATCTCCACACTGATTTCCATAGTGGTTGTACCAGTCTACGCTACCACCATCAAGGGAAAAGGGTTATTTTTTCCCCACAGCTGCTCCAGTATTTGTTGTTGTGTTTTGTTTTGTTTTTTTTATTTTGAAGAGTAAAAACGAATAGCTGAAACAAAGACAGAAACAAAATAACATACATCAATAGATACGTCACAGATTTTCAAAAAAAGAATAACAAATTAATAATGGCAGTTACAATACCTATTTTTACCATGCAATCTGTTGCTCAGATTAACAGATATAGCTATGTAATGTTGGACAAATAATTTGTTCTTGGTTGACTTCTTTTTTTTT